AAGATCAGAGAGGGGAAACATTCTTCTGTCAGATCCCTTCTTCTAGCCAGAATTGCTGAAAATTCAGCAATGTTGTCAGCCATGTCTTTCCCGTTGGAGAAACCCAGGTTCAAGTTCCCATTCGACAGAACTCACTGGTTACGTTCACGCTTAATACGGATACTAAATTAACCCATTTGGGGGGGGGGGTTGTACAACACATTGAACTGTAACGGTGGGTTTTGCACTAAGCCACAAAATGCTAACCAAGCTAACATTAACTCAGGTTAGCGGGTTGTGTCTGCTAGATCTTTACTTGACCCAGTTAAATGTGTTGCATGAACACAGCCAGTGAATGGACTGGTCACATTTCTCAGCCCAACTCACTTCAGGTTGTTCTTGTGAGGATAAAAAGGAAGGGTGACCACCACATACTTTATTGTCAGCTCCTTAAACAAAGGCAGGATGTAAATGAGATAAATACTTAAGGAATGAAAACTATTATTATAGTTTGTGGTCTGTATAGATGTTGCTCTACCAAGGAAAAGTTTCCGATTCAAAGTGCTTAAAGTCAGCTGTTCAACACAGCAAAAGAAGGGGGCAGAGGGAGAGAGGGGAAACAGGAGAATAATAAGCATTTATATTAATTATCTGTCCTAAGATTGAGACTGCAAACCTAAATACGCATACAGTACCAGGTATAAAATAACTAACAGAACCTAAAGCAGATTCCATAGTTGGGCCATTGCTGCAAAGCAAGGGGGGGTCACTTCACGACTTGACTGACTGGGTTCATGCATTGCATGAAGGCATGTTTTAGGCATCTTAAAAACACTTTTTTCCATGGCCACTGAGGGCTGCTGCAGGGGGCAGTGACAAGGTAATGTCACCAGAGAAAAGGGGACCCTGTCAGTCTCCTGAAGCTTCAGGGCTTGGTTTAGTGATGAAAATATGTGTGCCACGCATACTGAGGACTCCAAGTGCTGTTTCACTTTTTTAAAAGCAGTAAGTTGCTGTTCTGCAGAGATATGTTGCCCAATCTGTTGAGACGGGGGGGGGAATGGTCAGTGGATGCAAAACAAGAGTCTGTGAGGCCATTGACCTCTGGCTTGTCACTCCTGCCATACACCCTCATTTACAAACTCCTGCTTTCCTGCCACACACCAGACAAGAACGTAATGGCTTCTTGCAGTCTGCGATTCTAGTGTATTTCCTCTGCATCTGTGTTGCTTGTCTGTTACAGTGCCACCCGGGCTCCCTGCAGGCTCCTTCTTGGGAGACACAGAGGGGGCATATCCGATTTTGCCGTGGATGTATTTTTAGGCCTGGTCTTCGCTAAGGCAGCCCTCTTGCATCCTGCTGACGCACCCCGTGGCCTCACCCGGGGCCTGTTTCCACAGGATGCCATAGCAACGTAGTGTGTAATGATAGCTCTGGAGCCTGGCGTCTGCCCTGATAGGGAAGGCCTTTCTGGCGTTCGCCCTCGCCAGGGTGACAGACCATTGTACCTTCCTGACAAAGGAGCTTCACTGGAAATCACGCCCCCACAGCTGCCCCCAAGGGCGGCTCCCTCCCCTCCGCACTGCTTTGCGCCTCCGCTTGCCATCTGTTTCCCTCCCCCCCCCCCCCCCCAACATCTCTTAAGAGGAACAGCAGCAGATTCAGGACAGAGAAAAAGAAATCAGATTTTTGTTGTTGTTGTTGCTCAACTTACCATCAGTTTATTATGGAATGTGTGGCCACGAGATGAAGAGATAGCAGCTGTTTTAATGGCTTGAAAAGGGGGTTGGGCAAATCTGTTGAGAAAAA